TGTCATAGCTTTCTACTCTGTGGCTATGAAATGATCTATGGGGTACCTCCAGATCTGGAAACTGAACCCACCTGAGCACCGGTGGATCCCTGTTCAGGAGCATGGCTTTAAAAATGTTCCATAAGGAGAGCTTCCCTGGGGACAGGAAGGTGACACCTAGGCTGAGATGAAGCAACTTGTTTCTCCTCTTGAGAAACTCCAGAGACACCTCTCAGACTTAAATGCTTAGAAGACAAGCCACTGAGGCCTGCAGAGCTGGGTAGGACTCCAGGTGCTGTGTTTCTGTTCTGGGAGCCCAAGAGTCAAGTCAGTTTAACCAGGAGGTCTCAGCCCAGGGGTACATGTTAATTTAGAAAAAAATCATCACACCTAAAACCTCAGTATTGCCTGAAGATCCTGGCCTGTCAGATCAGAAGCCAGGAGACACTGGGTGGAGGAGGGGCAGAGGTCACCTGCAGAGGCATTTAGGAGAGGGAGCCAGTGCATGATCAGGTGACCATGAAGTACTCGCCCCTTCAGCCTTCCATCTGCCCTCCCGCTCAGGCTCCATGTAGTAACCAGTCCCTGGGATGCTCCCTGCTGGGGTTCACGTGAGGGCTGTCCTTAGCATCTCCTGCAACAATAGAGGCAGGTGGAGGTGGCAGTACCTAGGCTGGGCTGCCACACACCTTTGCCACTTATCTCATCAGCATTTTTCATCACTATCTGGCCAGCTCACCGTTCTTGGAAATCCCATCCTTGGGACCTGGACCAGGTCCCTGGACAACAGTGGCCCCTGTCCCAAGCCTTCCTGGGCCCTACTCCTGTCTGGCTCTGAAATGCAGGCCTCAGCCATTACTGCAGCTCAGCTCACACACCCCGGGAGCTCATCTCCCCTCCCCAAACCCCTTTTTTCTCTTCTTTTTTTTTTAGATTTTTAACTCTTTCTCCACCATTCCCCTGGCACAGAATGACTATTACAAACGCTCCTCTCAAAGCCTTTGAAGAAGTCACTCTGCTCCATGTCCCCAGGTGGGCTGCGCCCCTCTGGCTCATCCTCTGGGGTTCGGAGTATCTCCTCCTTCAACTTCTGAGCCAGGCGGAGCCTCCAAACTCCCTTTATAGTGCCATCCTCCCTGGACCCCCCGAGACAACGCAGGTCTGGGACAGTTTCCGGGAGGAGGAGTCTGGGCTCGAGCCAGACCCTCAGCTGACTCCTCCGCCCCAGGGGACACCTCCCTTCCCCCTCAACGGGGTCGCGGCTTCCAGGTCCAGCATGGAGGGATGGAGCCCTCAGGGTGGGGCTGAGCTTGGCCAGGCAACCTCCCAAGCCGCTTAGGCCGCGTGTCCCGTGACCGTCCACGCGCGGGGCGGGAAGGCCCGGGCACTTTCGCCCCGTCATGCCCCCTTGCGCGGGAGCCGCGAGGCCCTGTCACAGCCCGCAGGGGTCCCTGGTGCCTGGAGACCCCCTCGGAGCCGTCGGCCCCCGGGCATCAGCCCTGTCCTCTCGTCGCCCCTCCCCTGTCCCCAGCTGTGCCACCCCAGTCCAGGCCGGAGAGCGGGTGGCGCGCCACCCGGGTCCTCCAAGAGCCGTACTAGGCCCCAAGCGCCCGGAACCGGCTCCTCCCCCGCCCGGCGCCCGGCGGTGCCCGGCCATGCCAGGCGGCGACCCCGGCTCTCCAGGGCGCGGCGCGGGCGGAGACAAGGCGGGACCCTCGACCCACGCCCCGGCCCCGGCCCGGCACCCCGCATCCTCGTACCGCGATCACGTTGACGAAGGTGGTCTTGCCGGAGTACTGCAGCCCGACTAGCGTGAGCTCCATCTCCTCCTTCCAGAACAGGGCCTTGAACCAGTCCAGCAGCTTGTTGAACAAAGCGATCATGGTCGCTGCCGCCGGCCCCGCCCGGTGCCGGGTCCCCGCCGCCCGTCGCTGCCCTCGCGCTGCGCCCGGAGCGGCCCCTCCCCGGTGCGGCCCGGGTCCCGCGCGGCTCGGTGAGGGCGGAGGCTCGAGCGCGGCGGCCGACGACTCGCTGCCCCGGGATCCGCTCGCCGATGGGTGTGGCCTCAGCGCCCTCCCCCTCCCCCGCCCCCGCCGCCGCCGCCGCCGCCGCCGCCGCCGCCGCCGCCGCGCCCTCCCGCGGGCCGGGCTTCGTCCTGCTCGCACCCGAGCGCGCGCTCCTCCCTCGCCCGCACCCCGCGGGGTGGGCGGGGACCCGGGGCTGCGGGGCTGGCTGGCAGCTGGCGTCGCCCGGCACTTGGGGAGAAGGCTCCAATTTAATTTCCTCTCTTGTCCTCGGCTGCCGCGCCCTGACTGCTGCTGGGCCCGCCGCGGTGAGGTCCCTGGTACGCAAGAGCAGTTCCAGGTTGAAGAAGAGTGACTCCCTACTGGGCAGGACGCCGAGATGAGATCTCCAGGAAAGGCAAACAACGGAGGGTTTGGTTCCTTGAACCCTTGGCCTCTGAACATCCCTGGGTTCTGAGCCCCATCCTCCAAAATGTACCCCGCACAGAGTAACAGCCTCATTTAAGTCTTTTACTACTCCATCTTGTTTTGTCAGCCACAATTTACCCAGGTCATTTGTTTAGGAAGCCTCAGTGAAAGGGATGTTCGAACTTAATGCTGATTTTTACTAGTGTGGCCACCATGCAGAAAGGGACAAAATCCTGGCAGGAGATTTCCAGTAAGGAACATCTTGTGGCAAAGGAAAATGTACGCTGTTTTGGAAGAAAGCAAAGTTTTCTCTAGGAGCAGAACTGATAGTGGGTGGTGTCAGGCCTGCCAAGACGTCCCCACACCCCTTGCAGGAACTAACCACAGGGTCTGTCTAGTCAGCAGGTTCGTTACCCCAGCTGTCTGCACCTCACTGGTCCCAAGTTTCAGGGCAGTCCCCAATCTATGTTGGATGCTTCTTCAGATTTAGTTTTCAAGTGTGCTCACGCAGAGCCCATTGTCTCAGTCAAAGATGAGTAAAATATCAATATCAACCATATCGATCAACTCTCCCCAAGAGTTAGATAACTTCAAATGATCAAAGAGTTGCTAAAGTGGAGAAATCACAGTCTTGGACCAGAATAATGTCTTTGTTTATTAAGCAGCATCTGTGGATCCTCTCTAGCTCCTAAGGTACATGCTATAGTCTGAATATTTGTGTTCCTCCCACCCCAGAATTCCTATGCTGAACTCCTCATCTCCATCCAAGGTGATGGTATTTGGTAGCTAATTAGGGTGGGGCCCTCTTGAATAAGATTAATGACCATATAAATATGGAATAAGGGAGGGGGGAGGGAGAGGGAGGAAGAGAAGGAGAAAAGGAACGGGAGCAGGATGAGGAGGAAAAGGAAAAGGAGAAGAAGAAGAGAAGGAGAGAGAGAACCTAGAATCCATGCCCCTCCCACCATGAAAGGACAGAGACAAGGCTTTGCCTACAAGCCAGAAAGTGGGCTGTAAACTTAATCTGCTGGCACCTTGATAATGGACTTCCCAGCCTTCAGAACCATGGGAAACAAATTCTTGTTGTTTATAAACCTCCCAATGTATGGTATTTTGTTATAGCAGCCTGAATGGGCTAAGATAGCACCTGTCTGTCTCACTTCCTACATTGACTGCAGTTTCACTTTGTTTCATGCCCTTGAAAGTGTTAGAAAAGAACATACCCCAGGGGGAAAGATTTGCAGTCTGCTCCTGTTCCATGGAGTCTTTCTCTCTCTAGTGCTATTCAGAGCCCCAGAGGCCTACGAAGATGGAAAGAAGGAATGAATCAGCCATCCAAGAAGTCTTTATTTTTTCCACTTGCTTACTTTTCTGGAGCTTGTACCCTCAGCTCTGGGGCAATGCAGTTTCTTCCATTCAGACTGGGTCTGAGCTCAGGGCAGAATCAGGCGCTTAAGAGCCCTCCACCTAGCTCAGGGGGCGCCCACAGCAGATGCCTCTCACAGGGCCTAGGAAGTTGGAGGTACAGGTGAGCCCACCCCAGGGCTATAAGGAAGGAGAGGCTCCTTGGTAAGGCCAAGCAGAAACAGAAGAATTTTAACCTCAGCTGCAGCACTGCAAGTTCTTCAAAGAGCTGTGACGAAGGAAGAGGTCAGCTGCTCAGCAGGACCAGCTTCTTGGGGTTTCTGCAGGGAGCTGGTGTCAGCCAAGGAAAGTCCTAAGGGGCTGAGGGTCAGGAGGAATTGTGCCTCATCTTTATCCCCAGAGGCAGCCATCTTGGTGTCAAGGAGGGCTCAGGCTTTGACTGCATTTCTAGGGTGTGTAGTTCAATCCTGAGATAGATCTGCGGTCCCCTGGAAATTGTTGATGCTGAGATAGATGAGTGATGTTAGTTCTCTGGGATTGAAACGAGGTGTCACAATTCAGTCTGTGCCCTGTGTCTTCATGGAGTTGTTAGAACCCAGACTGCTTCTGGAAAAAGCCATTTGCTCTGCAAATTTCAGGGTAGGGAGCGTGTGGAGGGGGTGGCTTTTCTAGAACCAGAGTGAGCTTTTCCTTTCATCTTCTCTTTCTTGGGCACTTCCTGAGTACCCAGGGTATCTTCTGAGGTCAAAGAAGCAAAGCAGAGAATGATGGGCCTTCCTAGAGAGGGGTTGGGGTGGGTGGAAGGCAATTACCAGGCCAGGGCAGCCCTCTTGGCCTCTGAATGGTCCCCATATATTCCCTCTTCCAGAGACCTCAAGTTACAGGTCTAGTCACCTCTATAGCACTCCCAGGACACCTGTGGAAGCAGAGCCAACCTGGGTCATTGTTCCCTTTCAAGGAGGTCATGCGGCACTCCCAGATGCATGGAATAGAGCAGGATCCATGCTAGGATGTGGAGAATTTGACAGAGGTCACACTGGACTCTTCCCAGCTCAGGCATCTGGCCTACACTTGGGCAGGGCTGGGTTGGGGAATGATCTTGACGCACCCTGTTGCCAGCCCAGAAAGGGGCTACAGCTGGAACAGCTTCCAGAAACTTCCCTGATTGCTTCCATTATGGCAGCCAAGCACATAATGTCCTTGTCATAGATAGGAAATGAGCCCACAAAGAGCAGTCTTCATGCAGTCTGGTTCAAGTGCTAGCTCCTGTCTTTAAGTTCAAAGACACAGAAGGCTCTCCCATTGTCCATCTAGGAGCACCAGAGGAGTCAGAGGAGTGGCTGGTGGTGAAGACCTGGAGTCTGGTCCCTCATCCTTGCTGGCACAGCTTCCTGGGACTGTAAGCACTCACTAGTGAGGCACCATCCCTGTGCTCATGCAGGGGGTGCCCCAGGGCACAGAGCCCACTTCCCTAGGCCCCTGTCCTAGGCCTGAGGGGAGGTTGGCATCTGGGCTGGTAGAAGGGTCAGGAGCTGGGCTCTTGGGGCAGCTGGGCTGCATACAGGGCCAAAGTGTGGTGCAGAAACTGGTACTGCTCCGTGGTCTGGATCATCCCCCCTCTGCAGGGAGAAACACAGATGGCAACCATGACTGTGAGCGAGGGACTATGAGCGAGAGAGGGCAAAGCGCCTGCCCATTGGCTCTGGTCGAATTCCTTATAGTCCTACTGGGAAAGTCCTGACTTTCTTCTTCCCATATATTCACCCTTTTTATCTCCTGTTCCTCCTTACAGCCCCTCAGATCTCCCCCCAGGAGCAAAGCCCTCTGCCCCATTCCTCCGAGCAGTGTGCCAAGGGGGAGGTGCCACAGACTGACACTTGGTCTTTCCTCATTCACTCAGCTCCTGGGCGAAACCAGGCCTGATTGCTCAGGTTGGGACTGGAGTGTTCCCAAGCCACAGGTTTTCCTCTTGTCAATTATCTTTGCTTTTTTGGTGGGCCTGGGGCTGAACTCATAGCCTACACCTTGAGCCACTCCACCGACCCTTTTTTGTGGTGGGTTTTGTGATAGGCTCTTATGATAGGGTCTCATGAATTATCTGCCTGGGCTGGCTTCGAACAGCAATCCTCCTGATCTCTACCTCCTGAGTAGCTAGGATTACAGGCATGAGCCACCGTTGTCCGACTGTCAATAATCTTTTTATTTCTTCTTCTTCTTCTTTTTTTTTTTTGCTGGATTCACTTATTAGTCCTAATAGTTCTATTTTTAGTGCTCTCTTTAGGATTTTCTATATAAAAGATCACATCATCTCTAAAGAAAGACACTTGACTTCTTGCCTAATCTCCCTGACTAGACCCATGGCACAAGGTTGTTTTTATATTTTACTCACATGTATATATGTTGTTTGGGCCATCATCTTAAAAATAAATCACCTTAAAAGTAAAACTAATAACGTCACACATTTCTACAGTAGTTATTTTCCAAAACACTTTCACATAAGTTAACCCATTCCTTCCAGCAATTCTGTGGGGAAAGAGTTATTCTCTCTCTCTAGATAAAGAAATGGGGATAAAGAATACTATTTCTTCTTTCCCAGTTTTCTACTGAGTAGGGAATTTGGAAAAAAAAAAAAAAAGTTGAAGGTTCGGGGTAAATCCATAGAATAGCACTTTTAATTCCAGGCCCCCAAGCTCAAATTCCAGGTACAGATTCCTTCCTGGGTATTAGTTATCAACAAAGTATAAACCTCTTTAAACAACAGAGGTCCCTTCCTTTCTCCTAGTGTCTGTTGGTCACATGTCCAGCAGCCCAGAGGCACCAAGGCCATTCATTCATGTGGCCGGTCCTGTTTACCATGGACCCACCTGTCCAGGCGCAGGTGGCACACGATATTCAGAATGTCCACTTCTCCTCGCGCCTTCAGCTGTTGGCAGCCGATGCGAGTAGCGATGAAGCAGCCCGTCCGGCCAATCCCTGCACTGGATACAGCCAGGGAGAGGATGGGGCAGGAGACCAGGGAATAGGGGAGGCGGGTGAGTGAGAATTCCAGTGCCTCAAGAGACCCTGGAGGAGTTTGTATTTCTTACTAGCCTTACTCTAGGCCTAGTACAGGTCACCTTCCAACTCCTGTGGCCAATTTTTTTTTTTCCAGATGGGGTCTTTCTATGTAGCCCAAACTAGCCTCAAACTTGAGATTTCCTGGCTCAGCCTCCTGAGTGAGTGCTGGGATTACAGATGTGCATTGCCACACTTGGGTCCTGTAGACATTTTAATGTCTCTTCTGCTTAACAGTATACAACAGCTTCTAACTGACAGTGCCCTGCTTGTGGGCTGGCTGACCCCGGGGGCCCTCCTTATCTAACCAATACTTCCTCCTAGCTCAGCGTCAGCTTCCACAGCTGCCAACGCTTGACGTCTCTGCTTCCCACCTCCCTTCTCTCCCACAGTCCTTTTCTCTCTGATCTCCTATACCTTGGCTTTCCTCCCTTCCTTGCTCCCTTCCCTCCATCCTTCTTTCCTTCCTTCCTTCCTCCTCCCTCCCTCCTCTTTCTCTCCTCCCTCCCCCCTTCCCTTTCTTTATTTGAAAACCCTCTCCCTTCTTTGGCAAACATTCTTGGATGAGCCCCTAATAGAAGCCACTAGTGACTCCTGGCACTTATGTCCAGGTGCCATCTATGGATGGTCCCGGGAGCACCCTCTGTACTTTCTGACCCCACATTCTGTTTTATTTAGGATGCTCACTCGCAGATGGTCTTGTCCCCTACATCACCTCCCACTCCACCCAATCCACTTTTATTCTGTAGCCAAAGCATTCTTAAAAATGGTAAACCTGGGGCCCTGGGTTCATTCCCCAGGAAAAATAAAATAAAAAATGAAAATTTAAAATGGCAAATCCAAGCCAAGCCCTGGTGGCTCACACCTATAATTCTAGCTATTTGGGAGGCTCAGATGGGGGGAATCACAATTCCAGACCATCCTGGGCATCTTGAGACCCCATCTCAGTGGAAAAAGCTGGGTGCCGTGGCACGTGTCTTAATCCCAGCATCAGTGGGAAACATAAATGGGATCATCACAGTCCTGGGCAAAAATTGAAACCCTATCTGCAAAAAAAAAAAAACCAGAGCAAAAAGGGGTGGAGGCATGGCTCATGTGGGAAAGCACCTGCTTATCCGACATGAAGCCCTGAGTTCAAACCCTAGTACCACCACCACGACCAAAAAAAAAATTTCAATATCTTAGTCCATCCTGCAAGGCCCTTTTCCCTGTGACCTTCACTTGCCTTCCAGACTCATCTCCCCTCACTGTTCCCAAGCGTGACCCCAGACCCACCCTCTAAACCCAGAGCCCAGCAACTCACCAATTTTTTTGGAAGTACTGGGGTTTGAAATCAGGGCCTTGAACCTGCTAGGCAGGTATTCTACCACTTAAGCCTCACCACTAGCCCCTTTTGCTTTACATATTTTTCAAATAGGGTCTTGCACTTTTGTCCTGGGCTGGTCTCAGACCTTGATTCTCCTACCTCTGCCTCTCTCCTGTAGCTGAGATTACAGATGTGTACCACCATGCTTGGATTGTTCTTTGAGATGAGGTTTTGTTAACTTGCAATACCTGCCCCAGCCTCAAACCATGAACCTTCTATTTCCACCTCCCTAGTAGCTGGGATTACAGTTGTGAGCCATGGTGTCTGGCCTTTGCATATGCTGTCCTCTTCCCCTCTTTACTTGGCTAATAGCCCTTTCAGATCTTCATGCAGCTTAGATATACTTTCTCTGGGAAAAGCTTCACTGGACAAAGACTGAGTTAGGCAACTCAATCCTTCACTCCCTGTACTATCCCATCACAGCTGTCATCGTACTGGGCCCTGCTGTCATTCCCACCAGGCTATAACCTTGTCAGGGAAGAGACCAAACTGTTTTCTTTACTAGTGTCTCCTCAGCAAGTTACATCATGCCTGATAATAATAATAATAGGTCTTCAATAAATATTTGTTGAATGAATAAATGAGCTCCTCCCCTGGCTGACCAGTGGTGTCCCCAGTATGCCTGGGCTCTGTGTACAAAGGAGGTACTAAGAACAAAGCACTTCTGAACCATCTAGAGATTCCTGTCAAGTAGGAACTAGGCCTACCTGATGCTATTCTACTGAGTCCCCTCCCCAAGAGACCCCCAGTGGGAAGGGGAGGATGGTACCCAGGTCACAGTTGAGGGGGGGACCCGGCACCTGCAGTGGACCACGATGGGCCCAGTGTTGGCAGCTGTCTCTGGACTCTCCTCCACCTCGGCCACCAGGCGTAGAAGGGGCCCAGCTGATTCTGGCGTCTGGTGGTCTGGCCAGGCTGAGAAGAGGATGTGCTTTACTGACCGGCGTTCCTCCTGGTGCTGGAATAGAGACAAGGCATGAGAACCAGGGTCCAGGGGGAGCACAGGTCACCTTTTCTGGTGCTTGAGGGGGATGAGGGCTGCAGTTATTCCATGGGGGACTCACAGCCGGAAGGGTGACTCCTGCTAGCTGGCCTCCACCACTCCCTACTCCAAAATGTTCAAAAGGAATGGTGTCCTGGGAGAGTAAAAGACCACGGTCTTGTCTGTAACTAGCACATGACTTTGGACAAGTACCTTAATCTCATTTTCTTCACCTAGAAAATGGTACTGCTTTATTCCCCAGGATTCTTGGGAACTAATGAATTGATAAAATGCATTGAAAAACTAAAACCTAAGCTTTGGCTGGCAGAGCGGCAAGCGTGAGGCCCTGAGTTCAAACCCCAGTTCTTACCAAAAAAAAAAACAACCCCGAAAAACAAATAGAAAGCTTTCTCCTTCCTTCCTCCCTTCTTTTCTTCCTTCTTCCTTCCTTCCTTCCTTCCTCCCTTCCTTCCTTGTTTCTTCCTTCCTTCCTTCTTTCTTCCTTCCTTCCTTCCTTCGTTCCTTCTTCCCTCCCTCTCTCTCTCCCTCCCACCCTCCCTTCCTTCTTTTCATTCTTTTTGAGACAGGGTCTTGCTGTGCAGCTCAGGCTGGTCTCCAACTCTTGATCATCTGACCTTAGCCTCCTGAGTGTTGGGATTATAGGCCTGAGCTAACATCAGCTAGAAAGCATTTTTGAAGCACTTACACATTACTAAACCTTCTTTCAACCTCTTCTCACTCTTCAACTCTGGTCCCTCCTCTCCTAGCCAGCTCCTACATTTTTAGCATGGTGGGCGGAGTTCTCCTTCCTTCCTTTCCTCTTTCCTTCCTTCTTCCTTCCTTCCTTCTTTCTTCTTCCTTCCTTCCTTCGTTCCTTCTTCCCTCCCTCTCTCTCTCCCTCCCACCCTCCCTTCCTTCTTTTCATTCTTTTTGAGACAGGGTCTTGCTGTGCAGCTCAGGCTGGTCTCAAACTCTTGATCATCTGACCTTAGCCTCCTGAGTGTTGGGATTATAGGCCTGAGCCATAACATCCAGCTAGAAAGCATTTTTGAAGCACTTTTACACATTACTAAACACTTCTTTCAACCTCTTCTCACTCTTCACACTCCTGGGTCCCTCCTCTCCTAGCCAGCTCCTACACCTTTTAGCATGGTGGGCGGAGTTCCTATTGGTTCCTATTTGGTTTACCGGCTCTGCCCTATTAGACTACCAGCTCCCAAAGGTCAGTACCCAAGTTTCTCTTTTTTCTATGGTTCAAGCATCTCTTTTAGAGGTGGGTTCAAGGCTTACATGAGTTAACTTGGCTCCTAGTAAATGTGGGGCCTGAGTTCTAGGCCTGGCCCAGGGGGTGGTACCTGGATGGTGAGTTGCCGTACAGTATATTCCGGGTGCTCTTTCAGGTCACGGATGCAGATCCGAAAGGGCCCATAGGTTTCCTCGTCTGTGGGCCAGTAGTGGACACATTTCTAGGAGGGATGGAGCTGGGAGTCAGAAGGGGGTAGGTCTATCAGCTGAAGCAAGGCTGGGACAGTAGAGAAGGGATTGCTCTGTATCCCTCCCCACTGGGGGGGGTCTCCTGAACTTGACCCCTGCAGACAGAGTGCGCATTCCATCCCATATTTTGGCCAAGACCACTTTTCTCAGGGGATAGCTCAGGGACCTTTCTGACAGGTGTGAGTTGGGGCTGGCTGTTGGTGTTCTCAGCTCCCAGAGAGGCCTCTGGACCCAAGTTTCCCTGCATGTGTGTGTTGTGTGGCAGGGCATAGCCCTGTCCTTTCTAGGTTCACCAAGGACTATGGCTGTGCCTCCTACCTCCTTGCCCTCACGGAGCTCAGTGAGCATGACAATGAGACACACTTCTTCTTGCCACACCATCTCCCAGAAGTCTGCCACAGTGTTGGCCATTGGGCCCTGGGTGGCAATGTAGACCTTCTCCTGTCCATCGTAGCCCTGGGAAGGGAAGCACAGAAGAAGGGTGGAGAAGCCCTGAGATCAAACTCCACAGGTGCTGGGATCAAGTTAAAGCCAGGAAGCGTGCACACCTAAATACACATGTGCACGAGCAAACACACATACCAGAAGTCACAGAGTGGGAAGGACATGGGTTCCACAGTGAAGAACAGTGGAAGTTCAGGTGGAGTGGCTCAAGTGGTAGAGTGCCTGCCTAGCAAGGGTGAGGCCTTGAGTTCAAAACAGTACTGCCAAAAAAAAAAAGAAAGAAAGAAAAAAGAAGGGAGTTCAAATCCCTCTTCTGTTTCTTATGTTTCCTAGTTGTGCTACTATAAGTAAGTTACCTAGCCCTTGTATGTCTCAGTTTTCTCATCTGTAGTCTAGGCATAACAATACCAATCTTGCAGGAATGTAGTGTAGCTTAAATTTAATAAAATATATTAAGTTTAGCAGATAGCAGGTGCTCTATAAAGTGTTTTATTTCCCCTTTTTTTCTTTTCTTTTTTGGTGGTTACTGGGATTTGAACTCTGGGCCTCATGCTTGCTGGGCAGTCACTCTACCATTTGAGCCACTTCACTATAAAATGTTTCTTTCTTTGTTTTTGCAGTACTGGGATTTGAACTCAAGACCTACACCTTGAGCCACTCCACAGCCCCTTTTTTTGTGATGGGTTTTTTTGAGGGAGTCTCATGAAATATTTGCCCAGACTGGCTTCAAATCGCAGTTCTCCTGATCTCCACCTCCTGAGTAGGATTACAGGCATGAGCCACCTTTTCTTCTCTTTCTTCCTGGCTGCTTTTTTCTAGCACAAATACCTGCACAGGGTCATTAAATGTGGATTGATTTTTTTTTTTACCAATTAATATATTCAGTAGCAAAATGTAGCTCCCTCTCCCTAATCTGTCTCCACTTCGGGACCCTCAGCTTCCTGTTCCTCAAGATGATGGTTAGCTGTAGCCCATTGTTTGCCTGGTGCCAGTGGGCAAATGGGAGACCAGGTTTCCCCACTATCTCCCTGTCAATAGCTTCTCTTCTGCTGTCATACTCACCTTGGCCACTAGAGAGCACTGCTTTTACATATCCCTAGGGACAAAAAAGGTAGAGAGCCTTGCCTTGAGGGTCCTGTTAGATGAACATCAATCAAACCATCTCCACAAAGGGGAGGGGAGAAAGGGAGAAAGAGTGGGGGTGGGGGGGAGAGAGGGAGAGAGAGAGAGAGAGAGAGAGAGAGAGAGAGAGAGAGAGAGAGAGAGAGAGAGAGAGAAACTCCCATTTGTCCACTTGTACTGGCCTCTTTTTGCAGCTCTCAGAAGCAATTAACCCTCAAGCCAGCGACTGGGTTCAGCCATGCCAACTTTTGATGGCTGGCAAAGGGTAGATTAAGGAGAGGTGATAGTTTCTTCTTTTCAGAAATGCTTGACATCTGCTATTTTCTAGGTTGCTGTCCTGACATCTTCAGGCATAGCCCTGTGCACGCGCCCCCCAACACCCGGTCCCCACACCGCTGCCACAGCCAGGCCACTCACTCGGATGTAGTTCGCGTTGATGTAGTCTCCGTCCTCTTGGCTCTGTGCCCGACCAAGACAGACACGGCTCTGGGGATCTAGAAAGGAAGGCTCAGAGGAAGTCAGAGGTCAAAGGTGACCAAGTCATGCAGACTCTGATAGGGACAGACCATTCTTGTGCTCATAAGAGTACTTTGTGTATAGCACATGGCCCAATACCCTCTGAATTGTTTTATATGTAGAGAGCAGGGAACCAGGGAATGGTTTTGAACAACAGAGTGACATGATCAAAGTAACAGTTTGGGAAGATTCACTGCGTGGTGCTGTGGCGGATGGACTGGTGAGCAACAGAGCCCAAATAGGAAGTTACTGGAATAGTCTAGTCTTGAGATCAATAAGAGCTAGAACAGGATGGTACCAATAGCAGCGGAAATAGAGAGCTGTGGAGGAAGAATTCTTTTCTGACAGTGAATACGGGCTTCAGGTGAGCAGCTTGCTAAGCTCACATGGTGGTGAAGTTGAACTAGATTTCACTCAGCCACTGGGCGTGTCCGCCTCTCTCCATAAGCGGAAGGGTTTTCTCCAAATCATACCCAAACAGAGATGAAGGAGTTGGCTTGTAAGGAAAGAAGAAGGGAGGCTCACTCTCCTGTGCCACCCTAGCTGGGGACAGAGGGTCTCCAGGTTAAGCTCAGGCAAAGGAAACTTCCTCTTTCTGGTGGCTACAGGCTGACTAGAATTAAGCCAAGAACAAGGGCTAATCGATCCCACGTGGATGAATGCTTGGTCCACTCGTGCAGACAGAGGGCAGGGAGGCTCAGTGGGAGATAGGATCTGTGTGCTCTGCTGAGCTCAGGTCTCAGACTGGGAGTTACTGGAGGGGGGCTGGCCAGAAAAGGCAGCTCTGTGGGCACAGGGGCGGTACAGAGAGGCTCTAGGGACCTCACACCTGCCCCTGAAAAACAGGAGATGCTTACCCTGGGTCTGTCAGTTTACAGTCAACCTGGCACAGTCCACCATCCCCTGTTGCAACCTGTCATTGCTTTTTTGCTGGTCACTGCCCTGCCTCCCTGTGGCTTTCTCAGAGCCTTCTCTCAGGATTCATCCTAATGGAGCCTCTTTCACTGCCAACCTTTGCCAGATGCTTCCCATATGGGAAGAAGAGGAGGAAGGTTTAGTGCCACTAGCTGTGTGACTTGGGCAAGTTACACAACTTGTGCTCCATTTCCTCATTTGTAAAATGGGAATAATAATACCATAGTATCAATTTCATAGGGACATTGGGAGAGGTGAGTTAATGTGAAGCACATAGAGCAGGGTGTAGCCCACAGTAAGCATCTTCAGATATCATTGCTGCTGTCGTGACTGCTGTCCCTTTTCCCCCCTCCCCCCAGTACATGGGATTAGTATGTTTCTGCTGAAAGAAAATGCCCCAGCACTGTTGTCCCTCCTTGGCTGAGGCTGTGCATCTTGTCTTCTGGAGTTCTCCAGCCCTATACACAGCGCCCGCCTCCGCTGATCCCTGCTGCAGGCCTTACTTGGCAAGATGGTCTTGTATCGGTCCTTGGAGGCATGGCCAGGGATATCTAGGTCTTCAGGGTTGACAAAGTTTGATGGGATCTTCTGGCAGGGGAAGAAATGAGTGAGTGAGTAGCTAGTAACCTTTCTCAGCCTCCTTTTCTCCCCTTCTCCCCTTTCCTGGTAGAGTGGACCCTGGCCATTCCTTCTTGGTATGGGTATGTAGGCCTAGGTGGGGTGGACAGCAGAAGAGGAAGGCCTTTTCTCATGAACCTCAGAACTCTCTTTCTTAAGGGGCCCAAGGAGGAGTCAAGTCCCTGGTGTCCGGGATGGAATGGGATCTGATGGCTGCCTCTGATACTGAAGGTCAGAGTGACACTGAGAAGACCCCAAGTTCTTACCAAGAATTCCTCCTCCAGCTGCTTGGGGCTGGGTGGCTGATGCTGCAGGGCCCAGCGGGTAAGGGGATGTCCAGCTGTGCGCAGGAAGTGTAAGGTGACCTCCCGGGGTGTATTCACTGAGCAGATGGGTTCCACAGTGCCCAGGGATCGCACGTCTAACATCAGAGCCACATTGGAGCCTCGCCTGCAGGCACAGCCAGCCAGTGCCTAGTGAGTACCAATCCCATTTGCTATTCCTACAATTATTGTTGTTGCAGGGTAACCTGAGGTAGCTATTCTTTGTCTTTCTTCTGATCCAGAGGCTCATGCATTAAAGGGTTCAAGCCCCTGCTTCATGCCTGTCTTTTGTCAGGTAGAACAGGGCAGCTTGGAGCCCACTGTTCCTTCCAATTGCCCACCTCTTCCCACACTGGCCCTGAAACTCAGACCTACATCCAGCATCAAGAAGGCCCCTGGCAGCCCAGGAACTGCCCAACCCAACCTGGGATTTAGGGAGCAGGCTCAAGATTGATATGAAACTTAGTGTCCGAGACATGCAAACAACATGCAAATGAACATTATTGGTTTCCTTTCCAGAATGGACTCAACATTGAGGGCCCTCTGGACTCAGATGTCTGAGCTGAAGGGGCAGATGGAGGGAAGGGAGGAGACGAAAGAGGCTCAGAATTTGGAAGACCCCTCTCTCCAGAAAGATCTCACCTCTCCTGTAGCCGGACGTGCTTCTTGACTGGTGCTTTGGCTGGTGGAGGCTGGGTCATGGCTGCCCCCAAAGACAAGATCAGCGGCTGTGCTCTGGAACGCCCCCGACAGGCCTGGACCATGCTGGGGTGGGGTGCTGGGCCCAGGGAAGGCTCACTCAGCCATGAGGCCTGCCTGAAAAACAAGGCCCCCCCAAGGCTGCTGGCCTCTGGCTTTCCTGATTGGCCAGAAGGAGACTCCCAAGCCCAGGCCCCCATCTGCTCGGGTTTTCACTGTGGGGTATCTTTTCTTCCCCACTTCCTGGGGACAGTTCTTTGGTGGGAGTGAGCAACAGGCAGTGTGGGTTTAGAGTAGGGATAAGATAAAGGGTGGAGTTGTAGATGAAGATAGTAACAAATCCAGAAGGAGGAAGAGAGAAGGGAGACTGAAGTACACTGGACTCTGAGCTGGGGTCGAAGTGAAAGAAGGCAAGGGAAGAGATGTGATCTGTGTGTATAGCACAGAAGGAAGGGAGAAAGCTACAAGGATCACCTCTGAGTCTAACCAATGGGCGTTCTCCTGAACGAGAAATTGGAGGCCTCTAGCAATGTTGAACCAGGTGGGGACTCAGGCGTGCTAGGCTGCTGGCTTTTAGCAAGATCCTCTCCAAATGGGGGCAGGTCTACTCCAAGATCAGTTCTGGCTTCTGGGGTCCCTGTCCAGGGAGGTAGGCTGGGGGTGTTTCCTTCCTCCTCCTGCCCATCCCCCATCTCTCGCCTCTGTAACCGTCACAGGAAATGGCCTCACCAAGCCTTTGAGCGACAGTGCATGGTGAGGCGACAGCTGGGGGGTGGGGGGGGACGAGAGGGGGCATGGAGGTGATGAGGCCATGTCCTCTGGGGGCAGTCCCCATCTCCCAGAGCCAGGGTCACAGGTGCCAAGGTGGCAAGAGTTAGTGTTGCTAAGCCCACACGGACGGAGGCGAGGGGACAGTGTGGGCCTGTGCAGGTGTGGGTGGTGGAGAGAGGCTCTCTGCTCAGGAGGGGCCCTTCACTTCTGCTTTCCTTGCACTCCATGTGGCTTCTCTGCCCTCCCAGCCTCAGGAACACCAGGTGTGTCAGAACCCATGTCCCAGCCAGGCATGGTGGCCCCCAACTCTCTTCCTGCACCCTGACTTCAGAGATGCCTTCCCAATTCCCAGGGCTTACCCCACCCCAAGGCCACAGGACTCCTATGCCCACTGCGAGTACTTACTGAAGCAGCTGTGCCCCCCAGGTTGCCTCTTGCCAGCTGTCTATCTGTCTGTCTGTCTTTGAGGGCTGAGAAGGCTTCAGGAAGCCAGCTTCCTCCCTCCGCCCCTCCTGGCTTCCACCCACGCACACCCAGCTGCACGCTGCCCTCCTGCGCTCCTGCTTGCTGCAGCTGCCACCAGGGGTCGGTGCCTCCTGCCTGTGCCCCCTAGGGGCAGGCTGCTGATGTCCTGGCACCCTTGCCAGGTACCAAGTTCTGCTCCCCGGGAAAGGGAAGGGGCAGGGCCTTCTCTGACTATCGGAGGTCCCCTGACCCCCAGGCCCTCTTTTCCCTCCTGCCATGTTTCTCCTCTGGGTTCTTGTTAGGTCCCCCTCTGCCTTCTTGCTGGGCAGAGCTTAGCTGACCCCAGGTCCATGCTATTCCACAGAGGATCCCATGTAGTTCCTGCTTATCCTGATATTGGCCAGAAACTTATTTCCACTGCTCATCTATGTCCCAGAGCCCTCTCCCTGGAAGCCCTTGCTGTTCTAAGACTTGGAAATTCATAGCCACACACAGGCTATATCACAGATGTGCCACCAACATGGGTGGGGGAAAGAGATGGCAGGAATCCTTACACCACATGGGAAGGAAGGACCAGGGCCAGATAGAAAGGTCCCCTCTAGGTCCTGACACCCTACCCACCAGCTCCTAGCTCCCGTGGCTGGTGCCTCAGCTAGCCACTCCAGAGCAGATAGCAGAGCAACCTGGAGGAGAGTTTGGGGGCTTTCCTAGAGCCCCCTTCCCCCTCTGGGCTTCTTCCTAGAATCGTACATCTTTTCAGACTTACTGGTAGTCGACAAACTCACACCAGGGGACTCCCATGTCCTCTTCACTAGGAGCCTGGATGCCGGGGCCCTGGGGAATGACCCCCAAGTCCAAGACTCCACGGCCCTCAACCCCTGCCTGGCTTTGGCAAGCTCTTTGCTGGTCCACAGCCCAGCCGGTTCATGGCTTATGCTCACTGCACAGCTCCTTTTACCCTGTAACATTCCAGACAACCTTCCCGGGCCCCAGCACACACAATCTGCATCCCCTCTCTTCCTCCCACTTCTCTGATTCAATTGTCAACGGTGACAGCAGAAAAGAAGTGATGTGCATGCAATAGGCAAAAGAGGTGGCACACCAGAGGGGGGGGCGGTGTGGAGGGGGCTGGCCTTCTGCTGGCCCATGGGGAAGGAGAGTGGATGTGAAGGCCAGGGATGACCCTTTGGGGTCAGGAGGCCTCTGGGCACCTGCCCTTGCAGTAAGGATAGGCCTGGTTCTTTTGCAAGGGCTCCTTAGCCACTGATCCTGGCTTCCTCTCCCGGTAGCCTGTGCTGCTCTGGGGAGTGGGTGGGTTTCCCTGAGGAGGAGGCCAAGTATAGCTAAGTAATGATTAGCTCCAGTGCCAGAATGAGATGGAAGAGACAGGAGCCTGGCATTCCATAGCCTTCTTGTGGGCAGTGACCCAAAGCTGGCCTCTGCTTTGACCTCCCTTCTGGGGTCAGTGTTTTCACTGGCAGAGAGTCAGGGCCCTGGCATAAAGGAGAGGACAGTAGGAGAGTGGAAAGATGGTCACCCTTTCTGGGCCAGCTGTTGATTATGATCACGAACAGGAAGCTAGGATACCACAGGGGTGAGGAGAAGGAAGTGGGCAAAGTCCTCCCCCACTGGCCTGCCCATTGCTCCCAGGTTTCCATGGTCTGAGCCTCAGTGGCAGTGAGCTTATCCTGTGCCCCTCACAGCTGGGGGTTGAGCAGTGGTTCATGCAGTTAGAAGTCGAGCTCTTGGACAGAAGGCTGGGAGCCAGAAGATGCAGACAATAGCTGGGGATGGTTGGGTGGGTTTGGGTGAAGGGAGAGTCACTTCTTGCCTCCTGCCGACTCCCTCTCCCCTATCTGCCTAGGGATGCCCGAACACTCATGGAGGCACATGGCTAGAGCCTCGACCACAAGCCTCAGAAGGGACAAGACACGTGTCCTTGCCTTGTACCACCCCTTCCCACTCTGGCCTTGGATCTTGGCCTGCTGCTTCCTGTCTTCTCTGGAGTAGGCTTTACTCCATCCTGGCTGCTGGAAACCTCCCAAAAGTGACTCCCCCTCCACTGTAGAACCTTCCCACACCTGGGGCAGAACTGTTCTCAAACTTCCATCATTCAAATTGCTGATTTGTCTTCCTGGGTTGGGATTTAGGTTCCAGCTACCCTTTATCCCAGAGAAATATAGTAATAGTTGAAAGCTGAAAGAACTTGCACATGAGTAAAATGTAGCTTCTTAGCTGTATGACCTTGGGCTGGTTACTGAGCCTCCCTGAATCTCAATCTCCGGTCTGCTTCCTCCCTCTCCAGCGGATGATAATAGGGACAATAACCCCTGTCAGACAGATAGAGTGAGGCCTGTGGCTCACAGTCAGTGCTCAGGAGCTGTCATAGGAGAAGCTGCTCAGTAAAATGGGCCAAGTAGCTGCCTGGGGACAGGGGGCCCTGATGGAGGAGTCTTGCCTCGCTCCTTCCTCCTCCCCTAGTCAGCCTTCAGGGTAGTTCCACTCAGCAGGGGGAGGTTCTGGAAAGAGTCCCTCCCAGCAGTTCCAATGGGCATAGTCCAGTCCTGAGACTGTGGGAAAGGGTGTCCCTAGTCCTTAGGCCAGGCTGGGAAGGGGCTGGTGCAGGGCAAGGACACACCTTGCCCTGATGTCTGTGGTCCACCTGGCCACACATGCATAACACACACACACACACACACACACACACACACACACACACATCCATACATTCAACCTGACTTTCGGGTCTCCCTCTGATCATTTCCCATGCCAGGGACTGTGAGCCAAAAGTCCCTGTCCCCCATGTCAGATGCCCCTAGGGGTAGGGGATATGTCTGCAATTCCTAGAAGTCCCCATTCCCAGCAGTGTCTATGGAGCAGGGAGCTGCTTGCTGGATTGGGGTCAGCCCCCAGAGGCAAAGACTGCTACCCTATAAAATGCAAAGGGAGATCTTGGGGAAGGGTTCAGCTCCTGGGGACCAGAACTCCTGGGTCCTGCACACTCCACCTGTCCTGCCACTCCCTAGACTCCCTCTTCAGTTCCTCTCTGGACAAGCTGTAGGGTCCTGGGTGGCAGTTCCAGAGTCCTCTGTGCCCCTCCTCATATCCCGTACCAGAGCAAGCCAGCTTCTTTCCTGACTTTGCAGGTCCAGGCTTGTCCCTGGTGGTGTGGGGGCATTCAAGCTCACAGGGAGGAGAAGGAGGTAGGGGGACACCAGAGGAGACACAGGTGAGTTGGGCAGAGAAGTGCTAAGAGGAGCTGAGGGAGGCCCACCCTCACACCTGTTCCAGCCAACCCAGGTGCCACTCCCACCCTGACCCACTTTCCCTCTGCTACCTTTTGGGGGTTTGCTGGTGAAGGAGACTTTCTCATACCCCTCACCCCTGGTAGAGAGGACCAGTGACCCCGGCCAGTTCAGCATGGGGGTGGGGTGTGGGAGCAAGGGCCAACCTGCCAGAAGCTCCAGGAAAGGAGCTCAGGACCCTGGCCGGAGGACTTCAGGGGAAGCCCAGGGCCAGTGAAATGGACATCTGTTCCACAACATGGTCCTTTCTTCCCACCCCCTCCATGTTGTCCCTGGCCACCCAGTATGTGTCCATCAGACAGGTACGTGCACACTGGTAGTCCCCGCATTGCACACTTGCACACATCTGTCAGTCTATACACACCCAGCACTTCACCAGCTGCCACCTCTTGCCTCTTGCTGTCTTTCCACAACCTGCTCAGTGGGACCTTGGCCTTCCCTCTTCCCCCTCTTCCTCCTCTTCCTGGCGACTTTCCCCTGGCTGTGGGAGGGAGAGTGAGCGACTTGTCCTCTCCTGCCTGGTGATTATCTTCTTCCAGCGTGGGGGATGCCCAAGGCCTGGCTTCAGGCTGTGGGAGAGCAGAGGAGTGGCCGGAAGAGCTGCCTGGGACAGCTGCAAGGAGAGACCAGGCCAGTTCCCATTGAGAGCTGGGAAGCCAGGACCTGCCTCTGCCTTCCTCTGCCTCTTGGGTAAGGCGAAAGGTGATTCGAAACCTTGGGAGGACCCCAGGGGTTCTCTAGGGAGAGGATGTGGGTTTGTCTGTGGGGGCGGCTGTCGGGGAGGAGATACAGCCCATGTGGCACGTTTTTGCTGAATGGAGAGGCTTGGCCTGGGGTGGGGACTGCTTCTTTTCTGTCAGAAGCTCTCTGTATCCTCTGTAGAGCCCCTCTTCCTTTCCCAAGGCTTTCCTGACAGAATGGGGGTCAGGCAGCTGGGGCGTTTATGGTCCAGTGCCTCCTCAAGACTCTGTCCATAGGACTAGCTATAGAGTCTTTGCTGTCCCCAGCATGCTTCTCTTTTGTGGGGACCCTTGAGAATCTCCCTCGCCCCTTACCCACACCCATGTCCTGCTGTGTGTCCTCTGTTTAGATCCTGAATTGGATGCTTCTGCCTCACCTCTGCCTTTTGCAGGTGCTCTTGGAGACTCTGCTAGGAAGATCAGAGTGAGGTCTCAGGTGAGGTGACAGGGGGAAGGTCCAGGATCTAGGATAGGATGATCCCCCACACACACACCTAATTGGTAGCCCCTCATCCCTGCCTCTTTCAAAAGAGCACATGTGTGTGTGTGTCCTCACACTCATACACACGCACACAGCCTGGAAAATCTGATGAGTCCGCAGCTTGAGTTTCCAGGCCTCCATCCAGGGCTGGGTGGGTGGCTCTGAGGTTTGGGGCTGGGTGGAGTGGGGGAGGGGCATCTGCCCAGGCAAGCTGGTCTCTGATGCAGGCCTGTCCTCCCACCAGGGCAGGCCTGGTAGAGTCTGGCCCCTGCTCAGAGTCTGTACCTGTCTGCGTTCTGCACACACTCCCTTCCTGAGCTTGCTGAGTCCTGGGCTTCCTTCCCAGGGCCCAGAGCATTTTCTGGCTCCTTCCAGTCTCACTGACTGACTTGGCCTGGCAGCACCTAAGTGTGCAGCACCAGGTGAGCAGCTGGCTCTGGGGGTGGGGAGGAGGGGAGGGGAAACTGAGCTCCTCCTCTTCTAGGCCAGGCTCAGACAGGCACAGGAGCTGGGCCTCTGTAGTGCCTGCAGCCTGGCAGGGGCTGGGAAGGGGCAGAGGAACAAGGTGGGCACTACTGACCTAACTAGAGGAAGGAGTGGAGGCAGCAAAAATCCCAGGGACTTGAATTGCTCCCCAAAGGGTTCCAAGCAGAGAGGACCCCAATTTGGGGGTAGGTGCAGGTTTGACATTTCCGCTTTATGGACTCAGAAGCCTCAGGTTCAAGTCCAGCTTCTCTCATACATGAGGAGCCTCAGGCTGGGCTCTTCTCCTCTCTGGATTTCAGCTTCTTCATTTGGGCAGTAAGGAGGGATGGATGAGTCCCAAGAGCCAGGTGAGCTCTAGATTCATGATCACTGTGACTCAGAACCCAAAGGATGTGTGTCTGTGCCTCTGACCACTGGAGCATAGTGTCACGTGAAGGCACAAAAGGGGACACAAGCTTAGCTGGCCCATTCACCCAGAGCACAGGAACACACATGTGGCCATGTGACCAGAAGCTCCCCCACTCCCACTCCCTGTCTACCACACAGGCACGTGGGAAGTAGTCAATAGATGCGCTAAGCCTTTTGCAGTGTCGGGGAGTTGGCCATCTCCACCAAGTGTGTCCAGTTGCAAGGCAATCGCTCCTCTTGATCTTCCCCAAGAGCACGGGACAATTTCCTCCCTGGAGAGCCAACTGCTGGAAGTGGGTGGAAGTAGGGTAGGCAGAGGGAGGAGGTGGGCTTGTCTACATGGGAGAGCTGCAATCCCCTTCCACCTTCTGGGCCTAGAACCAAGTTCCCACCTCTCTTCCATCTGGAGCCTTGCCAAGGCTGGGTGGGGTGAGAGTCAGGTCTGGGGCTGAGAGGCAGCCCCTTGTTCTTTGCTGCCTGTTCCCTGCTTGAAAGGCTGCCTTTCCCACCCTTGCCCACAGCCAGCGGGGCAAGGGGAGGGTTGAGGGGATGTGACTCCGCCTTCTGCTGCCTCCCAATTTTTCCTCTGCAGACATACCAGGATGAAGCCCCCAGTCCTGTTTGCTGTCTTCCTCTGGCTCCGGGGTTTTTTGGCTGAGGTAAGGTGGGCATGGGGGGCAGGCCGGGTGAGTGGGACCCTGCTCTCCAGGAGCCTCCAGGCTCCTCACCTCTCAGCCGGGTCCCACAGCTGGTCTGCATTAGTGGAGAAGGAAAGCTACTCCCTTCCCATCCAGGCCAGCGTGGAGGACGGAAAGAAAGTGCTCCAGCCTGCTGGGCTGCTGCCTGCACCTTGTGTGTGTGTGTGACTCCAGGAGCCACTTCTTCTCTCATTTGGCTGTGTGTGTGTGTGTGTGTGTGTGTGGTGGGGGGGGGGTCAGACACACAGGACCCCTTCTCTCTGATCCTGTCCTTGACCCACTGGCTTTCCCAGAGACCTGGACCCCAAAGGCCTTTGCCTATCTCTTCCTCTCCCCTCTTTCCTACAGGAATACACATGCCACTCACTGGAAGGAAGCCCAGACCCAGAAGGTGGAGGTAGGTGTCTTCAGTGGGGGAGGGGTTCTGAGGAAGAGGAGTGAGTAGGTACGGGGCTAATGGCTCCAAACCAGCTCCTGCCTCTGCTCTGGTCCGTTTTTGGCCTTCTCTCCTTCTTTTGGGCAGAAGGAGTATTGGGAGACTGTGAACTCACCCCTTTCCTCCAGACCTACCTCTGAACATGAACATCAGCAGCCAGGGCAAGCCTACCAGCCTCTTTCTGAGCTGGGCAGCTGCAGAGCCAAGTGGGTTTGGCCGGGCCCTCTCCCTCACGCGCCTCAGCCCCCTCGGATCTCCCGAAGGGCAGCAGCTCCTGGCCTATACCAATGAATCCAGTTTTGAGTTCCACGACTTGGTGCCAGGGAGTCGCTACCAGCTGGAAGTGACTGACCTGCGACCCTGTGGACAGAATGCTACTGTCACTGTCACTGCCCAAACTGGTATGAGGTCTGCAAGCTGAGGGGGAGGGGACCCTGCCTGGGGTCAGGGCAGGTTGTGACTACCCCTGAGGGGAGGGTAGTCAAATGCAACAGGTCTGTGAGGACTGAATCTGATCTAGAAGCCTATTTAGAAGCACAAGCAGAGGGGTGAGGCCTTTGGCACTAAACTTGATGCTTCTCTCTACCTCTGTTGCAGCCCCATCAATTGTCCAAGGCCTGCAGCTCCACAGCACCGGAAGCCCCATCAGTCTGGAGGCCTTCTGGAGTGATGCCCCTGGGGAGCAGGATGGCTACCAACTTCTCCTCCACCACCTGGAATCCCAAACACTGGCTCATAATATCTCTGTGTCCCCAAGCACCCTGTCTTACAATTTTGGTAACCTCTTGCCAGGTAGCCAGTATGTTTTGGAAGTTATTACCTGGGCTGGTGATCTTCAAGCAAAGACCAGCGTCTACCAGTGGACAGGTAAGGTGGACATCTGGGTAAGGCCCCAGGTGGCCACCAATCCAGAGGAGGTGGGAGTGAGTAGGCAGCCATGTCCCAATGTGGTTATGCTTCTGGGACCCCTAGCACCAGAGCTAGTGCCATTATCTGAATCCAGGGCTCTTCCTGGACCTGGCTATGCTCTGTCCACCCTTCGTCCAGGACCTGTACCTCCGGATCATTTGGTGCTGCGTGCCCTGGGCATCAGTGCTCTGCAAGCCTACTGGAACAGCTCCCAGGGGGCTGCCTGGCTCCACCTAGTGCTCGCAGACTTCCTAGGTGGCTCCAACCTCACTGCCGTAGTCAGACGAGGGGTCTCAAATCACACCTTCTTCCACCTGTCTCCGGGCACTGCCTATGAGCTGACACTTAGTGCTGCTGCCGGACCCCATCGGGTGGTGGGGCCCAATGCCACCGAGTGGACCTGTGAGTGCCTAGGGGTGGTGGTGGGGGGGAAGGGATCACAGCAGAGACTCAGTTCTCATCTGGCTGATCAGCCAGGAAATGCTGGCAGGGAGCACAGTTCGTCTGGACACTTGCAGGGTACGCTCCTCCACTTGGTGGGTGGTTGGTGCTCACCTGAGAGGATGATGGTGAAGGTAACGATTATCATTGGTGGAGGTGGGGGTCTCTATGCTCGGCACTTTCTGTGTATAGTTTTGTTCGATTCTCAAGACAGCCTGATACATTATAGTGGAGGTAACTGAGGTGCAGAGAGAGGAAGAACCCAAGGTCATATGGGTATGAGGGTGGCTGATCTAACCTTGGCTGGACGCCTTCAAAGCTGTGTCTGCTGCCATGCACCACATTTTCCCTCCAAGAAGCATTGCTGTGCAGTGGTCAAGAGTAGAGAAATCAGGCGGCCTAAGTTCTGAGTTTTGTTTCTGCCACCTGCTGGCTGGGCATCTCTGGATGAACTGCCTACCTCTAGCTCTGCACTAGTTCCTATATCTTTAAAAGATAGGGTCTCCCTTCTAGCCCGAGGATTAAGCGTGAGATACTGTGTATAGAATCCTTAGAATCATGTTGGCACACACATTTAATTATGTGATGTCTTCTATTTCTGTTATTGTTGTCCCTGGTTAGATAGTAGCTACCAGATCCTGGTATTCATCTGGAAGGTGGCCAATGGGGCCACTAGCATCTGGATGACGCACGGTATGATGTGTGTAGGAGGCAGCTGGTGCAGATGAAGTAGGGCTTTTCTCATCCACTGCTGAGGTGTTTCAGGAGCATTTGTCTCATTGTCCTCAGTTCCCTCTGCCCCACTTGACCTGGTGCTGACTCCCATGCCTCCTGAGCTCTGGGCAAGCTGGAAGGTGGGGCCAGGAGCCCGGGATGGTTATCTGCTGAAGCTGAGTGGGCCCTTGGAGAAGAGCACCATTCTGGGCCCTGAGGCCCAAAACGCCATATTCCCAGGGCCCCTGCCAGCTGGACACTATGCTCTGGAGCTGAAGGTTCTGGCTGGCCCCTATGAGGCCTGGGCTCAGGCCAGTGCTTGGCTGGCTGGTGAGTCTGGGTTGGGGAAGGTCAGGGCAGGGTCTTTCCCAGGGGCATTGGCATCTTGAGGCATCTGGGTCCTCACTATCTCGGGCCTACTTTTTCTCTAGATCCTGCAGCCCAGTCCAGGCAGGACAATAGTGCCAAGCTGCAGCTGGAAGGTCTGGAAGCTGCCAGGGAGCCTGGGAGGCGGGCACTGCTCTATGCTGATGGTGCCCAAGGCCTCCTAGGAAACATCTCTGTGCCCTCTGGTGCCACCCATGTTATCTTCTATGGGCTAGTGCCTGGGGCCCGCTACCGGGTGGATATTACCTCATCTCAGGGAGCAATCACTCAGAGCGTCACAGGCCACACAAGTGAGTGCCAGAAATTTTGTGCCCTAGGCCTGGGACTGGAAGACCTTGCCTTGGGGAGACAAGTCAGAGTAGGAGAGAAGCTCAGGAGGGCCAGGCAGGGATCATCAAGGGCCATTGACACGTATGGCCCTTGATCAAACTGCCCCTCTCTTCAGGTCCCCTTGCACCACAGTCACTGGAGCTCATCAACAGGGGTAGCCCATCTGACCTGACCATTGGCTGGGCCCCAGCACCAGGGCAGCGGGAAGGCTACAAGGTCACCTGGCATCAGGAGGGCAGCCAGAGGTCCCTGGTCAGCCTTGTTGATGTGGGTCCAGACAATTCCAGCCTGACTCTGAGGGGTCTGGTGCCTGGCTTCTGCTACACCATGTCAGCATGGGCCTGGGCTGGGAACCTCAGTTCCAGCATCCAAAGGATCCACACCTGTACCCGTGAGTTCCTGGCTCTGCTTCTAGGAGGCCAGTGCAGGGCGGCGGGCAGGGACCTCTACTCTCTGTCCTTCTGTGTGCCATATTCTTGACTCAGAGGGCCATGAGTTCAAGGTGAGACCTTTTATAAATCTGTTTGGTAGCATTTCCTACCATCCATGTACCCACCCATCCAGGTACCTACTCATCTATCTATCCATCCATCCATTCACCCATCTATCCTTCCAATAAGTATTTAATTAATCCCTCCCCTTTTCTAGATATGGGATTAGACATTGATGCTAGATATTATGAACAAAACAGTTTAGAAAGCAGGGTTGACAAACATTGTTTACATACCTATAAAATATGAGATTTTATATATCATATTGTAATAAATATAAATGGCTTGGTAGGAATATGCATGATGTCTTACCTTGAATCACAGGAAACTACATTCTTATAAGTTAAAATGGCTGACTCTTGGGGATTTTATGTGGATCCATCTGATTTTTTTGAGCTCACAGAAGGGATACCTATTTAGGGAGTCAGAGTGGGGTTCTCAGAGAAGAATGAGTTGAATGAGAAGCCTGGGGGCTGGGTAGGATGGGTAAGGGGATTTAGCAGGGGATAAGCATGCACCAAGGCCCATAGGCCAGAGACAGACAGACTGAGACCTTGCTGGAGCTGAATGTCAGCTGATAGGCTGGAGGCAAGGCCCTGAGGGATGCAAGAGAGCAGGTGTCTCACTGGGTGTGGTGAAAGAGTAGTGTCTGACATTGGGCAAAAGGCAGACATTGGCCAGTGGCTCTGTGAAAGGTTCTTCTGGGAAAGCAAGGGGAGTGGGCTTTGAGCCCCATGGAAGCTGGATCTTTAGACTGGGAGGCTGTGGAGCTTGTTTGGGAAAGGAGAGGTAGTAATCCAGGTCATTCCAAATCTTTCTCTTCCTGTCCTCCAAGGTCCTGCTCCCCCTGCCAACCTGAGCCTGGGGTTTGCCACACAGCCTCCCGTCCTGAGGGCTTCCTGGAGTCTTCCACCTGGTGGCAGGGATGGCTTCCAGCTTCGACTTTATAGCCTGAGGCCTCTGGCTCTGGAAAGCAAGGAAACCCTGGCCCCTGAGGCCCAGAACTTCTCCTGGGCCCAGCTGGCCCCAGGTTCTGAGTTTCTGGTGCAGCTGGGTACCCTGCAGGGGTCAGAGGAGAGCAGCAGCGTCAATGCCACAGGCTGGACACGTGAGTGCTCTGACCATGGCCCTTTGGACTTCCAGGGGTTTCATGTCTCCCTTGGACTCTCTGTGTCAGCTGGGCTGACTGTGGGTATGTCCCAGCCTGTGACTATCCCCTGATCCCTAGACACCAGGAAACCCCTGTCCCCTTACAGAGAGCCCTTCTGACATTCTAGACGGTGGGCAGAGCCAGGAGTTTTCTCACTTGTGCAACCGCCATGGGCATGCCATTCTCCATGCTCCCTGTTACCCAGAAGCATGGAGGTGGGTAGCTGTAGGCACCTAGCCTGAACCCCACTGCTAGATCAGCCTGGGCTGTGAGCTGTTAATGACAACAGTCATAGCGAATGCTCACTGGGCACCTTGCTGAGTGTCCCACCTGTGTTCTCTCACGTTTAACCCAGTCTGAGCATGCCCCCCACTGCCTGGGACCCGCTTCAGAGTTGAGTCGTGGGCTCACTTGCTGCCCTGAACCCCTTTCTCCTGGGAGTTTCTTGCCTGGGCCAAGGATCGAGGGAGTAGTGGGGGGAGCTTTCTGGGCAGGAAAAACTAGATATTGAATTTGGATACTTTTCTTCCTTCCTGTCCATCCCCCCATACCTTGCTCTTCTGCAGCCCCCCTTGCGCCTCCTCTGGTAAATGTAACCAGTGAAGGCACCACCCAGCTCCGGGCATCCTGGATCCATGCTTCTGGGGGCAGGGACAGGTACCAGATGACCTTGTACCAGGCAGGCACCCAGATAGCCACCAGCACCGTGGGGGCCAAGGTGGACAGCATGAGCTTTTCGGCTCTGACTCCGGGCACCAAGTACGAGGTGGAGGTAGTCTCACGGGCTGGGCCCTTCCGCACGGCAGCAGCCAACGTCTCTGGCTGGACCTGTGAGTGGAGTGTGGGAAAGGCAGCAAGGGGAGGAGCAGTGGCAAAGGCAGCCTCGGAAACCCCTGGGTTCCTCTCTCAATGGCATGCTAGCCGCACTTTAGTCCATTTATCACCTCCCTACCGAGGACACTGCGGGAGATCAGTGAGCCCCTGGTACCCAGTGGGACTCTTAGGACCAGAGTCTGGAACCTGGCTGACCTGTTCCCCTTCTCTTCACAGCCCCACTCATTCCCAATGAGGTGTTGGTGTCAATGCAGGCGGGCAGCGCTGTGGTCAACCTGGCCTGGGTCAGTGGCCCCATGGGGCAGGGGACATGCCACGCCCAACTCTCAGAGGCTGGGCACCCCACCTGGGTGCAGCCCCTGGTGCTAGGCCAAGCTCACCTCATGCTGAGGGACCTCACGCCAGGACACAACCTCTCACTGTCAGTGCTGTGCCAGGCAGGGCCGCTCCAGGCCTCTACTCACCCTGTGGTGCTGCCCATAGGTATGTCTGTGGGAGGAAGGGAAGAAGTGCTGAGAGCCACCTGCACCTTGCAGGTAGATGTGGCACCCACCCCTTCCCTGGATTATCATTTGGGGTGATGGCCCAAAGACAAGCTGTTTCTCCCTGTGGCTGAGGCGCCTTCCATAAGCATAAATGTTGGTCCATTGCACCTGCTGGTTTTGAGACCCCCTCCAGACCCAGTACTGTCTTCTTGGGGTGCATTGACCCCCACACGAAGCACAGCCTTCACTTCCCACAGAACCTGGCCCTGTGGAGGACGTACAGTGCCAGCCTGAGGCCACCTACCTGGCTCTGAACTGGTCGAGGCCCTCCGGAGACGTGGACGCCTGTCTGGTGGTGGCAGAGAAGCTGGCAGCGGGAGGAGCTGCTCGCCTCGTGTTCCAGGCCAACACCTCTGAGGATGCTCTCCTCTTGCCCAACCTGGTGCCCGCCACCTCCTACCGTCTCAGTCTCACTGCACTGGGCAGGAACGGCCTGCAGAGTAGGGCCGTCTCCCTGGTGTGCACTACTTCTGCCGAGGGTAGGCCCTTTCTGCTGGTCTCTCTCTGTCATTGCCCACATGGGATTGTCCCAGGGCTGGACCTGGCCCCTGGGGCTCTCCCATTCCCAAGCTCAGCCCTTTCCTCTAGCTCTGATCATGTTAGCTTGATTCCATACTTTTGAGCCATGGCATCCTAGCCCAGGAAACTTCCTGTCTTTATTTAATTGTCCATTAGCCATTTGCTGCCAGGCCCTGTGAGAGGTTCTGGGGACAGGAAGGCATGGTTTCTGCTCTGGAAGACTGATTGCCAATTGTCTCATTTTTCCTCCGCTCCATCCCCAGCCTGGCATCCTCCAGAGCTAGCTGCAGCCCCCCAGCTGGAGCCAGAGTCAGGAATGGGGGTGATGATCACACGGGGTATGTTTGGGAAGGATGATGGGCGGATCCAGTGGTATGGTGTCATTGCCACCACCAACATGTCACGTGAGTCCTGGGCTCAGGAGGGGTGGGGAGAGCCTGGTTATTGCCTGGCAGAGCTGAGACTGTTAAGATGAAAAGCCGACATCAGTCTTGTAGCTGCTAAGGACTCCCCGGACCATTCTTGAGGATGGGGCTGGTGTTGGATTGCGTTGGGGTAGCCCCTGGTGGTGGGGCGCAAGGCTATGCATGACTCACCAATCACCTTATCCTGCCCCTCCCTTCCCATTTCTCCCCCAGTGGTGCATCCCTCCCAGGAAGCCATCAACCACACATGGTTCGATCACTACTTCAGGGGACAAGACTCCTACCTGGCCATCCTGCTGCCCAACCCCTTCTACCCAGGGCCCTGGGCAGTGCCAAGATCCTGGACAGTACCCATGGGTACGGAGGACTGTGGCCATACCCAGGAAATATGTAATGGGCAGCTGAAGCCAGGCTCTCAGTACAGGTGAGGGCTGAGGTGGACAGGAAGGGGGGCCATCACTTATGGGTTTTTACACAATCTCTCAACAACAGATCTAGATGGACTCACAAAGAGAATGCCTGCACTAATCCCTAAGGGCCAGCAGAATTATTTTTGACTGGGTGTCCTGACAGGGAGGGCAAAAAGGGAACACTCATCTGTTACGGGTTTTCTTTTTTGTTTGTTGTTGTTTTCAATAAGAAATGGGGGGTGGGTTGCTTAGGTTTGCCAGGGCAATTTCAAGGCTATCCAGGTACACATTTCAAGAGGCTTCTTGCTCTCAAAACAAACAGGGCAGGGAAGAGGGAGGAGAAGCCGAGGTACTTTGCTCTACAGTATAGGAAGCAGGATCACAGCCTCTAAATAAGGGAAGCAGTGAAGCTTCCTCTACTTGAGCATCCATTGATGGAGGTCTCACATCCTGGGAGAGGTTTTGCCTTATTTGCCAGCCCCTCCCCAGCAGACGTCCTGCTTCTCTGTCCCAGGTTCAGTGTTGCAGCCTTCACCAGGTTCAGTGCTTCTGAGACCATTATCTCCTTCTCGGCCTTCTCAGGTAGGGTGGGCACATGGCTAGGGCACCAGCTGGTCCCTGGAGGGAGAAGGGTGCTGGGACCTCTCTTTGGAGGTTCATCCTCAATTGGCAGTGGGAGGAGCTGAGCTTAGGCTCCTGGGAGTCAGGTGCCATGTAGCAGAGATAGGGACCAGAGCCCAAGATGAAGGTGCGCTGACCACTATACCTGGCCTAGGGGCTATGAATGGGCAGTGGGAGAGACAGAGGTGCTGAGGGGGATTGTCACTGTTCACAGGCATACCACCTTCCCATCTGCCTTCTGCAGCTGGCTGTCCCAGGCTACCTGGGTTCTAGAACAGCATGGTCCAGTACGAATCTAAGGCAAGCCACCAATGTGAGCTAAACCACATATGAAATTTAGAATTTTCTAGTAGATCTGGGCATGGTGGTACATGCCTATAATCCCAGTACTGGGGAGGCTGGAGGCAGGAGGATCATGAGTTCAGGGCCAACCTGGGCTACATAAGTTTGTTTCCTCAAAAACAAAGTAACAATAACAAAAAATTCCTAGTAGCTATGTTAAAAAGGTAAAGAGAAGCACATATGAATAAAAAGAAAAGGTAAAGAGAAAGAGGTAATTAATTTTTGGAGCATCTTATTTAAACCAAGGTATCTAAAATGTTATTGTTTTAAGATACTAACTTAGAAGTTACTTAGGCCAGATATGGTACTTACCTGTACAACCAGCACTCAAGAGGTGAAAGCAGGAGATGGCTCATGAGTTTGAGGACAGCAGGAATGACATAGCAAGTTCAAGTCCAGCCTGGCTACAAAGTGAGACCCTGTCTCAAAAAACAAAACAAACAAAACACCCCTACCCCCCCAAACTTGAGATGTTTAACTTTTTTTTTTTTTTGACAGCATGGGGGACTGCTAGGCAGGTGCTCTACCACTCAAACCACACCCCCAACCCTTTTGTTTTTAGTTTGTTTTTCAGATAGGTCTCAGGCTAACTTTACCCAGTTGGCTTTCGACCTTGATCCTCCTACCTCTGCTCCTGAGTAGCTGGGATTATGAATATGCACCACCACACCTGGCCTCTACATTTTTTTTTTTTTTGCCCTGTTCTTTTTGATGGTGTCAGGGAGGGGAGTAGGGTCTTTGGAGTACACCTAGGAGCTGGGAGGCAGGGGTAGCTTTCTGGCTCTTCTCCCAGTTGGTCAGCTCTGGCAAATGCATCTGGGACTTCTCAGGGTGCAGAGGGTTGTCATGTATTCTTTACCCTGAGAACCCAAGTCCAGGAGAGGCTGGCATGGCCTGCAGGGTCAGTGGGACAAGGCCACCATGTTACACCTTCCCTTGCCCTCCACAGAGCCCCGGGCCAGTGTCTCCTCAACAGCAGTGCCCCTGCCAGTCCTGGTGGGCATTGCAACTGGCTGTGGCCTCACTGTCTGTGCCATGCTAAGCCTGCTGTGTTGGCGGAGGCTGAAGGGGCAGAGGTGAGTGGGAGGAGAGAGGGCCCCCGGGAAGGCCAGCCCAGCTGAAGACTGCCTTCCACTTGCCTCTCCACTCCAGCAGGGCAGAGAAGGACTTTTCCCATGAGCTGATGCCCCATGGCCTGCGGTAAGTGTGCTTTCCTGGCGGAGATACAGTAACAGCATGGGCCCTGGTGGCAGTGGCAGGCTCTCTTGCAACCTGCCTCTCTGTGACTGCACCCAGACAGGTGCAGTCACACTAGACTGCTGTTTTTCCAGTCTCTTCTAGACTCCTGTTTCTCCCCCACTACCTCCCTTCTCAAAGGCTTTCAACAGCTCTGCCTCTCTCTCCCTCCTCTTCCTCCTTCACACTCACCATATAAGTTGAGACTGTCAGAGAAGTAGGACCAACAGGGCGGGGATGGGAGAAATTTAGTCTAAAGAATTGGCTTGTGTGGAGTATGGTGGCACAGGCCTGTTATCCCAGAGGATGAGGCAGGAGGCCTGAGAGTTAGAGGCCAGGCTGAGCTGCATACTGAGATCCTATCTCAAACAACTGGCTGTGTGGATCAAGAGGTGGAGCCTAGTAAGCATAAGGCCCTGAGTTTAACCCTAGTACTGCCAAAGAAAAGGCTGATGTGAGGGTGCTGCTTGGTAAATCCAAAAGCTGATGGGGTAGCAGAGATCTGAAGGCATCTGCTAGCAGAATTCCTCTTACTCAGAGGAGGCCAATCTTTGTTTTACTAAAGCCTTCAACTGATTGGATAAGGCCCACCTACATAAGGGAGTCATGCTTTACTTATGCTCAACCAGTTGAAATGCTACTCTCATCCAAAAAACACCTTCACAGCAATATTTATAATAATGTGTAGCCATATATCAGTGCTGTGGCCCAGCCAGGTTGGCATACACGATTAGCCACCACCTTCACTTACTCCAGTCCTTCCTTCCTGACTAACCACCTGGATGGTAACAGACCAAATCTCTTTGCCCCATACTGACTTCCTGTTGAATTGACATTAACTGGGACTTGGCTGTGCACAGAAGTCCTCTTCAGGGGCCCATGAGGAGTTTTAAAGACTGGTGTGTGCATTCATATGTAGCTCCTGCCCCATCGCCCTCTCTCCTTTCCTTCCTTCCTTTCTGATTTGCTGCCCAGCCTGGGCATTGGAGGAGCCACTTAAAAAACATACTGCTCCACACTGGGGGTGGAGACCAGGGTCTGCATGACCAACAGCCCCCTCCCCACACCCTGTGATTAGGCTGTAGAGACAGCTCTGCACCTGTCACCCAGCGGAGGGCATGGCAGGACTGCACACTCTCAGCTGGGGGCCAATTCCTTCCCTCTCCCACCAGGCGGACCCACCGGCCCATCACTGTCCACAGCTTCCAGCAGAACTATGAGGCCAAGAGCGCTCATGAGCACCAGGCTTTCTTTCAAGAGTTTGAGGTGAGGCCTGCACGGTCCTTATGCTCAGAGGAGGGAGGCTTCCCTGTGTGTGTGCGTGTGTGGGGCATCTAGGCAGAGCTGGATCTACCTTCCAGCCATGCTCTCACCACCTGTCACTCATCTGCGGTGGGGTAAGTTGGGTGTGCTTTATAACCAGTTCTGCCCCATCCCTGCAGGAACTGAAGGAGGTGGGCAGGGAGCAGCCCAGGTTGGAGGCCGAACACCCTGCCAACACCACCAAGAACCGCTACCCACACGTGCTACCCTGTGAGTGCTGGGAGCATGGGGAGGTCACGGGCAGAAGGCCAAGGTTTGGCCTGGAGGAGGGACTGCCTGTGTCCGGGTACTGAGCACACCGCTTCTACCCTCTGCAGATGACCACTCCAGGGTCAGGCTGACTCAGCTGGCGGGAGAGCCCCATTCTGACTACATCAACGCCAACTTCATCCCAGTAAGGGCCACAGGCAGGCAGGGCTGTTGTGGGTGTGTCTGCTCAGGACACGATGTCCTCTCTGGGTGTAACCACTGCCTGTGAAGATAACCAGGTCACGCTTCTTTAGGTCCATCCGATAGGTCTTTTTGAAGGTCCCCTGTGTGCCAGGTTCTGAGATGGGCCCCTAGGAGGCAGAGCTGAGTTAGCCATGTTCATACCTTCAAAGGAGCACATGGGGGGTGTGTGCGTGTGTGCACGTGTGTGCATGTATGTGTGTGTGAGTGTGAGTGTGTTGCCAGTGGAATGCAGGGGGGAGGGGGAGAGGGGGCGGGCAGTGGGAGCCAAGCTGGGGAAAGGCAAACCAGGGCTGGAGGAAGGAGGACCTTGGTTGTCAGACTGAGGGCTTTGAATTCTATTTGGTGGTCAATGGGGAACCACGGAAGCGTGGACTGTGAGTGTGGAAGAAAGGCAGAGTTTGGTTTTAGGAAGGCCATTGGGCTGGTGAGGAGGGTGGGCTGGGGGAACTAGTGCTGGCACATCAGGGTCTTGTTATTTTCAGGGTGGCTCTTGTCCCCCCTTTGAGGTGGAGCACAGGTGGCAGCAGTGCCCCGGAAATCGCCCTCCTGCTTGGAGCTCTTAGTGTACAGTTGCGTTCCCGCTTCTGCATGTGTGTGAGCACATACACAGTGTTCTTGCTCCTGGAGAGCATAGGGTCGTTGCCATTCCTGTAGGTTTGGTAGAGACCAGGGGCCACAGCGTCACCTGTGAACATGTTCCTCCCTCTGCTCCCACTCCTTAGGGCTACACCCATCCACAGGAATTCATTGCCACCCAGGGGCCTCTCAAGAAAACGCTGGAGGACTTCTGGCGGCTGGTGTGGGAGCAGCAGGTCCACCTCATCGTCATGCTCACTGTGGGCATGGAGAACGGGAGGGTGAGTGTGCCCTGCAGGTTCCCAATATGGCCGCCAGGTGGCGCAGGTTCTCCTTGCAGGAATGGTCCCTTGTTACCGTCTATCAGGGACAGTGGGGCAGACAGGAGTGAGGCCAATCAGGTGTGGGGGTTGGTTGGGGGGTCCCCAGGGTCACCCAGGATGGGGAGGCAGGGGGAGGGACCAAGAACGCAAGCTCCCAGCTTTACTCGGTTTCCACTGGCCTCTTACTCTAGGCAGAGAAGGGGAATGGGGTAGAGAAGGATGGGGAAGGAGAGGCACCCTGACTCCTTTCTCCATGAGCCTGGAGGATGTCTCGTCTGTGCCCTGTGCAGGGCCGGCCTGGAGAGAGAGAGGCTGCCGAGCTTGTCCTTGTCTGGGTCAGCATGGCAAAGGCAGAAAGCCCCTAAATTAGGACCACCTGGTTTTCTAAAGGTGCCAAAGCTAACCTAGAGCCCCGGGGGTCCTATAAGGGTCCAGGGATGAGGGTGCTGGAAGCCAGCCAGGGGACGGATGGCAGAACTTCATCAGGATGGCAAGGACCAAAACAATGGGTGGGGAGAATTGGGATGAAGAAGGTAGGGGGTGGAAGTTACAGGGCTGGGTCCATAACCACCTCCCCCCTTCCCTCTGACCCTAGGTGCTATGTGAGCATTACTGGCCAGTTGACTCCACCCCGATCACCCACGGCCACCTTACCATCCGCCTCCTGGCTGAGGAACCTGAGGATGAGTGGACCAAGAGGGAATTCCAGATGGAGCATGTATGCACCCCAAGGGGCAGGGAGGGTATGATGGGCCTTAGGGCTGAGACTCCCTGAGAAGGTTGTCCCACCTCCAGGGTCCCCATGGTCCCCTTCCTGCTGAGGATTACACACCCAGGCAAGTGGGTGGTTAGGAAAGGGGTAGGGCAGCACAGAGGTCATGGGCTGATCACAGGCCATCCAGCCAGGCAAAGGCAGAGGGGAGCAAGGAGCAATGGTTCCTGACCCCCCCACCTTGCACCTCAGCTCGGGGCTCCCTGCTCACCCCATTACCTGGTTGACTTGTTAGCCTGGAACATTCTGGGACAGGAAAAAGCCAGGAACTGGAATTGCCCCTCTGCCTGGGCCCCCTCTGTAAGCAGAGGTTACTCAGGAGGGCAGAAGAGAAATCAAGGATGCAGGCAAAATCCAGACTGGTGTTGGGGACATAGCTGCTGCCCTCCAAGAGCACACAATGTGGGGGAGGGGAGGCAGCCTCCCCTCAGAGAGCTGGAGAGGGATGTTTCAGGGCTAAGCCAGGATCCCTGGGGTTTGGAAGACAAGGGGCAGCAGCATGGTTCCTGTCTGCTCCATCCCACCCATCCTCAGGGTGCCCAGAATAAACAGCGGAGGGTGAAGCAGCTGCAGTTCACAACCTGGCCAGATCACAGCATCCCCGAGGCCCCCAGCTCCCTGCTCACCTTTGTGGAACTGGTACAGGAGCAGGCGAGGACCATCCAAGGCATGGGGCCCATCCTGGTGCACTGCAGGTGAGGGCAGGTGGGGGTGGGGTGGAGGCCCCTGTCTGGCCTGAATGGGGAGGGGGCTTTGGGACTGTGGACGCTTTCCCCACTCAGTCCCCCAGGGCTATCCCCACAGTGCGGGCGTGGGCCGGACTGGCACCTTCGTGGCCCTCCTGAGGCTGCTGCAACAGCTGGAGGAGGAGCAGGTGGTGGATGTGTTCCATGCTGTGTACGTGCTCCGGCTGAACCGGCCTCTCATGATCCAGACGCCGGTGAGGGCCTCAGCATGCTGGCTGGGCAGCTTGGACCCCAAGGAGTGGTAGGGGAATAGATGGCCTCAGGGCCTCAGGGCCCCAAAGTCAGAGGAGATCATAGCAGCATGCTTTGGTGAGGGGTTCCACAGTGCCACCATCCTCCCTGGGCTGCTGTTTTCCTTTCTGTAAAAGGAGAGGACTGGCTCCTGCCAGCTTCCACATCTGTGGGACAGTTTAGGGGAGTTCCCAAATGGCTCCCTCATCCCTCCTGCTGCATCCCTGCTTTGCTTGCTAGACCAAGGCCACTCAGCAGGCTGACATCCTCTCTTCCCCCACCAGAGCCAGTATGTCTTCCTGCATAACTGTCTGCTGAACAAGATTCTGAAAGGGCCCTCTGACACCCTGGAGTAAGTCCAGCTGCCCTTGGGCCCTGAAGGTGGGAGCTGGTGCCCTGTGCCTTCCCACCAACAGGCTCCTGGCTCCTGTCTACCAGCAGAGAAGCCCGGAAGTAGCAGCCAGCAATCCCATGTCTTCTCCCTTCTCTATCATTCCCCCAGGTCTGGGCCCATCTCTGTGATGAACTTTGCACAGGCGTGTGCCAAGAGGGCAGCCAATGCCAATGCTGGCTTCTTGAAGGAGTACAAGGTATGCTTCAGGAGTAGATGACAAAGGAGGGCATCTTTCCCCAGCTTGGCTTCAGGGTGCCCATCTCCTTTCCAGCTCCTGCTGCAGGCAATCAAAGATGAAGCTGGCTCTTTGACACCCCCTCCTGGCTATAAGCAGGATAACACTCTCTTCTGTGAGTCTCCCTGGGTACTGTGGGGGTTGGGAGGGGGCTTGAGCATGTCTGGCAGCCTCACCCTCACCATCTTCCCACAGATGATTGTTCTCAGGTGCAGGAGAGCCCTGATGGTGATATGCCTGAAGCCTGGCTCTTCCCTGTGAGCTGATACAGCAGCAAACTTGTTGCTTGCCCTGAGACCATGTGGGCTTCCCTGGCGGGGACTGGGGCATTGGAGGCTCCTAGAACTATGGGATGGGCAAGGGACACCTCAGTCCTTGGAGCCAATGGACTGTGCTCTGCAGGGTGGACCTTTTGGCCGTGACCATGTGGTGCTGACCGGCCCTGCGGGGCCAGAGGAGCTCTGGGAGCTGGTGTGGGAGCATGGGGCCCATGTGCTGGTCTCCCTGTGCCCACCTAATGCCCAGGAGAAGGTGAGGGGAGAGGAGGGATAGAGAACGGACGGCTGCAGGAGTTGGGGCAGGGGTGGGAGGAATGTGTGATGCTGTTTGACCAGGACATGGGCAGAGGCCTTAGGAAGCAACCTGAGCAGCCGTTCCCAATTTGGTCCCAGCTACAGGAGTTCTGGCCAACAGAGATGCAGCCTGTTGTCACAGACCTGGTGACAGTGTACCGGGTAGCAGAGAACAACACAGCTGGCTGGCCTTGTACTGTCTTCAGGGTCACACAGGTGACCTCAGGTGTTGCGGCCACAGGGCATGAGGTATGGGCTGCAGGGGGGTGGGAGGGATTGTCTGTGCTGGCTTCCCTCTGCCCTCCCTGGCATCAATGCTGACCTCATTTTTGCCCCAGGGAGAGAGCAGGACAGAGAGGCTGGTGCAGCGCCTGCAGTTTCCGTGCTGGGAACCTGGGCATGAGCTGCCCGTTACCACCTTGCTGCCTTTCCTGGCTGCTGTGAGCCAGTGCTGCTACCAGGGCAAGAGCAAGAAGCCTGGCACACTGCTCAGCTACTCCAGGTGCTTTTGGACAAATCTCACTGCCCCTGCTTGGGTTATGGGTCAAAAAGACACAGTCTCCCCATGCCCCCATCTTCTCTGCACCTTGCCCTGTCCTCAGGAATATGGTTGGAATTTACTCCCTCCCTCCCTGGACCCAGCCTGGCTGGTTGACCAAGTGTCCTGGGTCCTTTTCAAGTCCCTGGACCCATGTTTGGTTTCCCCATGTCCCTGGACACTCCCACCCCATCACCTTCAGGTGCCCCATCCAACTCTAGGTCAATTGCAGCAAAGGCGTGACCCAGCTGGGCACCTTCCTGGCCATGGAGCAGTTGCTGCAGCAGGCAGGGGCTGAGTACTCCGTGGATGTTTTTAACGTGGCCCTGCAGCAGTCACAAGCCTGTGGCCTCATGACTCCAACGCTGGTGAGAGGCAACCAGGGGCTCAGCTGTGGGAAGGGGCCAGAGACAAAGCAGGTTTTGCTCCAGCTGCAGGTGACCTCTGGGCCACACCATTAGGGTAGCCACCAGGTGGCACTGTGCACCACTATGCTCTTGCCCAGCTGGAGCCCCAGGGGTTAGTTGGCACAAGGGGCCCTTCTCTGTCAGGTTTGGGCAGGCAGGGTGAAGTTTCTTATCCATGTCTACCCCCAGGAGCAGTATATCTACCTCTACAATTGTCTGAACAGCGCTCTGGTGGATGGGCTGCCCTGAATCCAGGAGTGGCCATGCCCTGCCAGGCAGGGATGGCCCCAACAAGTCCACCTAGGCCTGGCTTCCCTGGGAAGGCAGCTTCCACAGAACTGTGAGAGGGTACAGTCGGGAAATAAAGACATGTGGTCAAGTCTGAAGCTGTGTTCTGTCTGTCCATCCTGCAGCATGGGTCCTGTGGACAGACAGGGCAGGGATGGGAGCTGGGTATGGAGTATGGCTAACCTAGATGACCCTTAGCTGGCAAGCTGTTGATGTTTCCTCAGGCCTCCCCACTACTCCTTAATCCTCTATTTTTCCAGTTTCCTCAGATCTCAGCCTCTGTACCTCCAGCATCCTTTGGTGCTAAGCCCTGGAATTAGAGTCCCAGTTACCCATTGTCCCCTCCTCACCTACCACCCCAAATTCAGTAGGATTTATCTTGCTCCCTACTTCCTTTCTCCTGCTATCCCCAGCCTTCTCTACTTAACAGAATTCCTAGGGACCATCCTCAGTCACCGCCAGCTCCTTGCCCGGGTACAGGTGCCAGAGGCCCTTCAAGTCAGACATACCAAGATTTCTCTGCTTCTTAGCTCTTTTCTTCTTCATCCAATCATTCCCCATGTGGGAGAAAAAACGATGAGTGGGGATATGGAGAAGGGAAATACTAGGGGACCAGAAAAGAGGATGGGGATGAGGCTGGCTGTCCCAGACTCTTTAGGACTGGACTGCACACCATATGACAGGATTGCTGATGGCTTCATAAGCTCCTGCCCAATTGCCCCTGGTAAAGGACACTCAGAGGACAGAGAAAGCCTGGACAAATCAGAACAGAACTCCCTTAAATGGAGGCGGGGATAGAGCTCTTTCTTATTGGCCAACCTGAGTTCCTAGAAGTGCACAAAGGGTCAGAAGTCGGGGGTGTCCCTCTCAGGCCTAGTTAAAGAAAGGAAACAAAAGTAGGGCTTTCTGCTCAATCAAGAGCCTTCCCAGATGAGTTTAGGCTCTGGTGCCCCTCCCCCAGTAGGACTGAATATCAATGGCCTCTTCATATATAGTGCTTATCAGGGGTTCAGGGGATTGGCTCCGTAAAGACCCTCACATAGACAGGGTAGAGACCCAGCTCTGAGCTGCCCAAGCCTGCTTCGAGGAGCTGCTGCTGAAGTTGCAACAGGGTTCAACCATGGCTTTTCAACTTGGGACCCCACTGGAGTAGTGGGAGTAGGGGTGGGGTGTGAGATGGAGCCATGGCTGTGGATAAGAGAGGTGGCTTTCTGCTGCAGGGCAGAAATGCGTCTGCCTGTGGGTCTTTTTTTTTTTTTTTCATTTTTCTTTTATTATTCATATGTGCATACAAGGCTTGGTTATTTCTCCCCCCTGCCCCCACCCCCTCCCTTACCACCCACTCCACCCCCTCCCTCTCCCCCCCTCAATACCCAGCAGAAACTATTTTGCCCTTATCTCTAATTTTGTTGTAGAGAGAGTATAAGCAATAATAGGGAAGGAACAAGGGGTTTTGCTGGTTGAGATAAGGATAGCTATTCAGGGCATTGACTCACATTGATTTCCTGTGCGTGGGTGTTACCTGCCTGTGGGTCTTTATGGTTGTTCAAGGCCATCCTCTGGCCTTCCTAAGAGCTCATCTTCTACTTTTAGGGTCATGGCCCCAACTGGAGTCCTATGGCCAAGGTCTGCTGGCTTCTTGGTCCAGGTGTGAAGCCCCTCCAGCTCTGGAGGGATAGCAGAAGGAGGAGAGGGAGTAAGAGGACATGGAAGTACAGAGTGGAAGGAATATTGTCCTCCTTTGAGGTCCCTATGTTTCTAGTGGGCACTCTGGATGGATCACAGGGAGACAGCAAAATCGGGAGGAAGGGGAGCTTCCAACCTGTTCTAGCTCTGCACTGGAGCTTGGCTCAGAGAGGGACAACGGACCAGAGAAAGCAAGAGGCCACAAGAAGAAAGCGCTGCCAGTCAAATATGGCCTAAGGAGAGAACAGAGACTTGACTCCAGTTTTAACTACCTTTCTCCCTGATCTGTCAGGTCCTAGGAATAACAAGGGTAGACCCTGGAATCGGAGCTGCAAATGACTAAACTGCACCTGCAGCACTGAGCCTCCAGGTGGCGCCAATGCGCTGACTTTCTGGCATTGCCTTGACAGCCAGCTGGGCAGACCACAGCCTCGCAGCCTCTCTGGGTCCATAGACCAGGGATTAAGAGGATCCCCAGGCCTTGAACCTGGCTGTGACGGACAAGTGCGCACAGGGAGTGGAAATCAGCGCCTGTGTCCTTGGTGTTAGAGTATGGCCCCTCAGTAAGGAGCCTCCTCCTCTGTCCACTACCTCTCATTCCAGTCTACAATGGAACCCCGCCGCCCCCCCCCCCCGCCCCCCGCCTCAGCCTGACCCTTCCAGGACTTTCACTCTTCCTGCCCAGGATACAGGATAAGGAGGGCTGACCTGAACTCCAGCTCTGAGGCTGCCCCACATCATGCGTGACTTTGAGTAGATGATTTCTCTTGGGTCTCAGTTTCCTCCCGTGTAAAACCTGGTAGTGGGGTTGGGAACTCTGAAGTGTCTTCCCAGGGTCTCCTCTGGGTCCCACGTGACCTTGTCTCCAGAGGCAAGAGGGGCTCCAGCCCCACAAGCCTAGGCTCTGGGACACCTTTTCCAAACAAGTGCAGGTCTCTGACATGCTGTGCTTTCCTCGCTTTGGGTTTCTTTGCTTTCTTCCTTTTTTTTTTCCTGGATGAAATTCCTGCCAGCTCGGAAGGAAGGAGGGAAGGGGAGCGAGCAGCAGCGTAGAAAGTTTTCTTGACTCCTCCTCCGCCTGTGTCTCCCTCCCTTGCCAAGCCCAGCCTGTGAAACTGAATAACGAAGATCACTCAACAATGCCTGCCCCTCTCTGACTGCACGGTCCCGCGCTCCAGTCGCTGCCACCGACGCCAAGCCGAGCCCTCGGGGCGGTCCCCACCGACGGCTCAGCCCGCGGGACCAGCCGCGGGACCCGGAGGCCAGCAGCGCGGCCACTGCGCCCGTGCGCCCGTCCGTGCGCCTGCCAGGTGCCCCTGCCGCCAGGCCACCGAGATGCCCTGGCTCCCGGCGCTGTGGCTTTGCGCCGCGCTGTGCACGTCCCGGTGTGCCGCCGCCGGCGACCCCCATCCGGGCCCCGGGCGCGGCGCCTGCCCGGCCCCCTGCCACTGCCAGGAGGACGGCATCATGCTCTCGGCCGACTGCTCCGAGCTCGGGCTGTCTGTCGTGCCGGGAGATCTGGATCCCCTGACGGCTTACCTGTGAGTACGTCCCTCCCTGCTCCTGCTGGCTGCCTTCTAGCGCCCCGTTCCGCAACAGTTCAGGACACCTGCTCGTGTGGTGCCCTGTAGCTTAGGCATCCCCGGAGGGCTCTTCCCCTTCCAAGTCCATGGCTGCATGGGTGGGGAGGGGAGAAGAGTCTGAGACTAAGGACCAGGCAAGCAGTGAGTCTGGCCTTGCCCTGCTCGCTTTCCCTGGTGGCCCCTGTGCTGTGGGCTCACCTTTGGAGCCCAGGCCTGGAAAGGTGGGTTCTGGACCCTGTGCATGGGGAAACAGGGGACACCGTTCTCTTGCTGCCTTCTCCAGCAGAGCAGTGCCCCGGATGGTGGTGGCTGAGGGTGCAACTGACAGTGTTATGGCAGAAGTGAGGGGAGTGTGCTCCAGAGAGGTGGAAGCAGGTCTGTTTCTCTGCCATGGTAGGGAGTACAGAACTGTTGCACTGAGGCAGAGTGACCTTGGTGAGGGGGCCTTACCCACTCCTCTCTTTAGAAATGGTCTCTGCCAGCAACATATCCCTTTGCTGAGGCTGCTTGGCCCCCACAGGGGCCTCCCTGAAGTCATGTCCCAGGAGACTGTGTTGGAGACACTAATTTGTGGGCAGGCGCTGAGGCTGAAAACCAGAGAACCATTTTTAGAGTCTGAGTTGGGGTGAGATGGTGCATGAAGAGGACCCTACTAGGGGAAGCCATCCTGAGGATGGCTCAGGAGCTTCCCCTCTCACTACCTGGGCAGGAGGGGGGCCGTGAGAACACATTCCAGACCACCATCCCCCCCTCCCCCACCTACCCAGACTCTGGGGAAAGGAAACCCCTGGTCTCATCCTGCCCAGGCACAATCCTTTCCTCAGAGGAGGGAGAGCATGGGGATAAATGAGGACATCTTCCTAGTGGTGGGACCACAGAACTCCTTCAAGCCCAACGGAGACCCCTCACTACTTTGGGGTTACAGAACTGCTGAGCTCTGAGGAAGAGGGAACCAGGCTAGTCTTGAAGGTGTCCAGAGTATGTTGAAGGAAATGTGGCCTGGATGCTCAGCCTTGGAAATGCCCTGGTGGATGTAGAGGATGGTGAATTGAAACTGCTTATTGGCTCTCCTCCTTATCTCTCTGGCCTTTGTTGGAATGCCCCCCTTTCCCCACCAGAAAAGGACACAGGCTGTGGGTCACAAGAGGGAGTGAGAAGAAAATCCCCCAAAAAGCAAATTGAGTCCCTGGGGTGACACCAGAGTTAAACACAAGAATGCAAGGCACAAACTGTGAGCAGAGCCCTGAGCAGCTGACTGAGTAGGGTGGCTCTCATTCCACCCCTGTGATACCCAGGGCAGCCCCACTTCTAGCATTTTTTTATACTGTGGGTACATGACATTGTTTCATTTGGAGACAGGGTCCTGTGGCTAAGAAGTTTGGAAATGACTTCTGTCAAGCCAGT